ACTGCATTGTATTTCAATTTCAAGTTGAACATGTGTTAATTGTAGCATTTCACATGCCATTGTAGAATAGCCGAGCCTATTTTAGTAGCATTTTGCATGTGTTGCATTAGGCATTCCAGCATAAATAGGATCATGCATGGATTTCTAACATAACATCTGTTTTGGCTTGGAGTACTCGGTAAGTTCTATGCTTTAGCATCCTTGCATGCGTGTGAGTGACTGCCATGATAGCACGCTTACCATGAGGCTGTTTGCTTATGTGATATACCTGCCTGAATGCCTATAGGTGAAAGTTGGATTATCTGAATTAGAATAATGCATCGACTGCGAGTTTTAAGCTCACTTGAGAGTGGCAAAATCATGTTTTCTAAGCCCACTTGAGGGTGGCAAATCCACATTTTAGCCTACTTGCGAGTAGCAAACCGCTTTCAAAAACAAACATGAGATGTTTTGTTCCGATTCAGGCGATCCGGTCTATATTTGTTTGCTGTGCGCGTCACGTAGTAAATCTAGGCTAATAATCGGAATAAGAGCACATAATGTTTTCAAAACTCGATATCATGGTTAGTAAAGGCCGATCTTTGATCGGGCGAGCGGGGGTGCTCATGAAGTGACCTTTCCCAATCGTACCTAAGTTCCCGAGTCGAGGCAACTTTGGTGATAATGGACATGTGGCCTTAGGCAACGAGTTAGGGTTTTCTAAATTTTCCCAAAAATGAAATATTTAGGTGGCGACTCTGTATCTGGCAAAGAAGTCCATGTTTGGCACTTCTTTCAAAAAAATCTGTTTTTAAAAACGATTTGCCGGATTTGGACTCTTTGATGATTCATCGGTCTCGCATTGCATTCTGCGAGATTAGATACAGGACCGTGACATTTGAGTCCTGAACTGTAGTGAGCCCAAAGGAACAGAATGGGATTTCCCTCCCGGGACGTTCGGGGACGTCTACAGTTGGTTTTTCCAGCCAACCTCTTCAGCCTAGATCTTAATCCTAGCTGAAGAGAGCTCAAAGTTGGTTATTCCGGCCAACTTTGATTTTATTTATAAAGAGTTGGTCAATCCTGCCAACCCACTTTGCCCCCAGTTGGGCAAAGATTTTTTACTTGGTTAGTCCTTCTTGTCAACCGTGCTAACTTTTGTCGAAGGTGTTCTATTCGATATCGTAGTTTGTGCCGAACTCCGCCTTGCGTTCGTTTTGAATCTGGTCACAAATGCCTCCGCTAGTTGTGCTCACGAAGCTATGCTACCTTCTGACAACCTCTCAAACCACATTAAACCCAGGTCACCAAGGCTGAGGGTAATGGTGCGTTCTCTATTGTCGGAACGAACGGTGAGCTCTGCAACCTTGCTAACGCTTTGTCTGCTGGTTCATAGGCAAGGCGTGGCTCTGGAATTCCAACCTCGACACTCCCATGTGTTCTAGGAACCAATCGTTGTAGTGCGGAGACTTTGCCGGAGTCGCGAGCCTGAGTGTCTTTTCTCCTTCGAGCACTTTCAGTCTTCATTCTCTCAGGCCTGAAGTAGCGTGTCCTGGAAGTCTTTGATTGTGTATCGCTCGACCTAAGGCTTCTACTTTCAGTTTGTGATAGTATGACTTGTCTGTCACGATCTTCTGAGTGGCAAGAGTGTGTGTTGCCTTTTATCTGGTGCTTCATCGTCTCTATGTTAGCCGCCATTCTTCTTATTACTTCATCTTGCTCTCTTACGCGATCTTTGAGAACCTGAGGATCCATCTTCCGCCTCTGTCTATCAGGTCTTTGAGAGCGATGTGGTCTTGAGCCCTGTCTTTCTCTTGCTTCTTTCCGCGGATTCCTTCGCTGGGGATCTAATTCTGCCATGGGTGAGATAGAAGGTAAACCTTCATGCCTCCCACCCCATTTCGGTGTTTGCCCATCAACAGCAGATTATGGCAAGTCTTCATTGTGCACCATTGCTTTCAACTAGAGAGGAAAACTTGATCAAGAGCTTTTGCTCTTTATGAAATTCCCACAGACGGCACCAATTGTACGAGCACAAAATAATTCTTCTCGTACGACCCTGTTGATCAAGTTTGCACTCCTCCAAACAACGTTGTTTTGCCACCTAAAAACACAAACGTGGGCTAACCTGCGGGTGTGTGCCAGAAACCCCTCTGATGCCTAAGTCAGCAACTAGACAATAGACAATAAGCTCTGTGTGTTTTGGAGTAAGAATTGGGATACCTGTACATATGTTTGGTCATGAGCTTTTATAGACTTTACTTGGCACAATCCTAGTAGGATTTCTAACTCTCCTTATAAGAGTCCTTCTAGGAATCACACACTCTACTCACTACCAACCAAGTAAGATGGTTTGCACAATCTTAATAGGACTGTACTCTTCTTAGCAGAGTCCTCCTAGGAGTCATACTCCTACTCACTACCAACCAAGTGAGATGGTTTACACAATCCTAGTAGGACTCTAACTCTCCTTAGCAGAGTCCTACTAGGAGTCTCATCACTGCAAGCCAAGTGAGATGGCTGAACCCTTTTACCTCGGTTATACATTCCTGACCGAATTGCCTTATCTCGGTCCCCTGCTATTCGGACCGTGTGATCGAAAGCCGATCTATCGAATGTCACCCTGCCGAGCTATACACAGCTCGGCCCTCGCCATTGATGTTACCTCGGTTTGCTACAGAACTTTCTTTACTTCGGCTGTCATCTTTACCTCGGCTCTGTGCTCAACTAAGTCATGGAATAGAAGTATCGACCGAGCTATACCTAACTCGGCCATCTGTCTTACAAAACACCTCGGCCAACCCTTGGGCCTAGTATTTAGGTAGCTCGGTCAATGCCCTTACCCAGTTTGGTACTCAGATAAAAAGGGACTGAGCTACCCGTCGTCCATATTCCGGCTTTTATCTCGGCCCATTACGCGACCCAACTCCCAAAGATGACTCTTCCTAGCTCGGCCCAATTTGTTTACAAATTACCCTCTCATAATCAATTAATTTTTTTTCTCATGATCATCAAATTAACTAAAAAAAACTAACTATCATCTCAAACATAATTTTTTTAATTAGGCCCAAATAATAAAAATTAATTAAAATAATTAAATTTCCAAACTCATCTTAATATAATTATATTAAAATTATAAAATTTACTACTTTTTCAAATCTCTTAAGCAAGCGTTTCGTTGGTATTCCTCGAAATGGTTTTGGGGCTAAAACAGAAATGCCCATTAAGGTCCTGTTTGGGAAGTGGAGTTTTGGCTTTTTTTAGATTAAAATTTATAAAAAGATAAATAAATTAAAATAATTAATAAGATAAAATGTCACATTAAATTTATAATCGTTTTATTTTTTCTCTCATAAATATCACATCTAACAATAAAATAAATTTAACTGTTTTTTAAAAAAATAAAAATTTTAAACTATTAAAATAATCAAAAATTAAAATAATTTATTAAAATAATAAATTTATCAAGACCTAAAAAAAATCAAGAATAAAGAGGTCTGTTGGTTAGGTATGGGAAAGGACAACTTCGTAGGGTAACACAGCCCGTCTCTCCCTCCCTATACGATTTTATGTAATTCGCGGTATTTTGGTGAGAAGTTGATTATTTAAATTAATTATTTATTTTTTAATTATTTTAATTTGATTAAAATAATTGTGTTTCAAAAAGTCAGTTATTTTTTTTATTTTTATAGTTAATTTGATACTGTAATTATAAGAGAAAAAATGAAATAATTATGAATTAAATTTCACTGACTATTTTAACATTTTAGTAAGTTATTTTAATACAATCTCCTTCCTAAACAAGACCTTTATTTATTGATCTGTCTATCTTTAAAATTATACTAGTGGTTGACATATGTAATACATGTAAAATTTAAATATGTAAAAATAAAATATTTTTTTTGTTATATATTATAGGGTGAATTATACTAACGGTCTTTGTAATTTGAAATTTATGTCACTTTGATCTCTAACCTTCCAATTATGATGTATTTGATCTTAAATTTTGAATCTCGTTTTAAAAAAGGATAATTGAAGGCATTGTTGAGCTCGTGAGGTCCACCAGGATCCCGTTTTAATAACTCGAACTGTTCAATGTATAGAATTCGTCAAGTAATTTATGTTTACAAAAAATTATGTTGATCAGATATCGATAGCTCCTTGATCGAAACATATTTTTATCAATAGTAAATATAATTTTAAAAATAAATTATTAACAAAAATATATTTCGATTAACATAATCTTTTACAAATATAAATCCTCGACAAACTTTACAAATTAATCAATTTAAATCTTCAAAATAAGACGTATAATAAATTTTACAAACCTAACAATGCACTCCAAATTGGAGAGAAACCATCTCGTTTAAATTATGTGGTATTTTGAGAAACGACAATGTTAGGTATCATGAAAAATCTTTCATAAAAATAGTCATGAAAGATTTGTGACTTTTAGATTACACCTACAATAAAGCACCACACACTAATCAAAATAATCTAAGAGTCACAAATTTTTCATGATCATTTTTATAAAAAAAAATTCATAATTCTTAACATTTCTTTTTGCGAACCAACAACAGCAATGAATAAAAAATTAATTTTTTGACTTTTAAATTTTTTTTAATAATTTTTTAACAAAAAAAAAATTAATTTTTTTAACTAAAAAATTAAAAAATCAAAATACTGATTTTTTATCTGGTTGCCAAACTGCCCCAATATCTGTTACGTAAAATACTGTCTCACGCAGATTCACATACAGGAGGTGAATCGTGGAGTTACAAATGGATAGACGATGAACCTGATGCCCCTTTTGACGTGTTAGTGGGTGGTGCTCTTTTTTAAACTGTACATCTATCTCTCTCTCTCTCTCTCTCTCTCTACTCTCCTTTCTAGACTGCTATAATCCGATATTTTCTCCCATATTTTCTCTCTCATTTCTTTCCAAACTCTCCCCCGATAGGGAAAAAAAAAAAGCTTCAGACGATGATGAAGGTCTGTATTACCGTTTTGTTCACTTTCGATTTCTGGGTCTTCTTCCTCTTTCTCTCTTTCTATTTCTCTCTTCTTCTTTTTTTGGGATTTTTATTTTCTTTCAAGAATCGGACGTACTTCTTGGGTGTTTCCTTCAGATTTTCTTTCCGTTTTTGAATTTTCTTCAGCACCAAACAGTGTGAATACACCCAAGATTTCGACTTTCTTTCGTCGTTTCCCCGATTTTTCTTTGCATTTATACTCTTAACCGCTTTTCTGATTTATTTCTGAAGTATTTTCGCAGCAGTTTCGTGTGATTTCATGATCTCTTTCTTTCTCACTCACCGCGTTTCTTGTCTCTGTCTTCTCTTCTTTTTTGACGGACTTTAGAAGTCTTTTCTCTTTGTTTTGATCTTGAATAAACAAATCTAAGTCTTCGATTTATGCTTTAAAACTGTTCACATGACCAGAGCTTTGATTTTGGGTGTTTTGATTTCTTATTAATCGATTCAATAGCTTCTATACAAACAAACCATCCATATGCGTTTGAGTCGAGACTCTACTTCATTTCAGAAATCTTTTGATTCTAGACTCTTCTCTTGCTTCAATACCATACATACATGCTATATATATTTTCTTACCTTTTGTAGATTTGAGTTGTTAATTGCAATAGAGGCCAGTGAATAGTGAGTGGTTCTGGTTCTTGATCTATTTACTAGTGCTTCACAAATCTTGTGTTTTTCTTTTTCTTTCTCTGTTTGTGGGTATACCCACATAAAATAACAGTTCTTGGACTTTGATCTTTAATCACATCTTTGCTTGCTTGTGTCTTTAATTCTTTGCCAATTTTGTTTTTGTTCTTTCCTTGTTCAATCAGGCTTTTGAAAGTGTGTCTGATCTGGTGATTCAACACATACACATACACATAGATGCTTCAAATACACTCTTCCCCAAGCACATGAAATAACCTTCTAGATGGGTCTAGAATCTACCTCTTTACTTTGTGTTTTTCTTGATCTTATGGTTCTTCTTTCTCTTCTGTCTTGCAGGCTAATGGGTGAAGAAAAAGATTTTTGAGATGGGTTTGTTTGTTTGAAGTTTGAATTTGGAAGAGGCAGCTATTGTTATGCTGAAGGGTAAGCATAAGACAAGTGTTTGCTGTGGAGATAGAATAGAAGTAGTTCTTGTGACTGTAGGCAAGACAGCACAAGAAGAGAGAAGAAGCTTATCATCAGATGTTATCCATTGAAAACCCTCCACCAGATCTTTCATGTCCTCTTGAAATCTCACAGCTGAATAGTAGTGATGGGAGGGTTTCTGATAAGGCCTTGAAAGAGGTAGATCTGTTCAAGTCACTCCTTGATGATGATGATGATGATGATGACGAAAACAACAACCCACTTCCTAAATTTTCCATAAGGTAATTTACTTTCATCTTTCAGACTCTCTCTTTTGGTTTTGCTTTTGATTAATTAATGTTTTGTCATGGCTGTCAGATCCACTGTTTCTTGGTGGTGAATTTTTGATTCAACCCATCTTGGGGCTAGTGTCAGATTTTCATCTAGCTCTTCTTATCTAGATTTGGGCAAAATCCCAGATGATCAAAGCTTTTAATTTGGTCAATTTGTTATCTTCGTGATCATCCCTTTCTTTATGATTTCATGTATTAACTTGTTGAGTATTTCATTAGATCATAGCTTAATCACGTTGCTAGTGATGTGTTTTAACATAAATTTCTATGGTCAATCTTGAGTTAACATACAGTTTTATGGTCTTTTAATCTTTCAGTGTTTTTTTTTTCCCCCAGAATACAGATGGGTTGAATTAATGCTTTGATCTTGTACTCTTTGTATCGATCTGAAAAGAAATTAAGGTTGTGGTTTGGTTTGTGCTGCAGAGATTATGTGTTTGGTGCGCGGAACAAGGATATCAAGACCAATTGGCCATTTTCTCTGGAAAACTTGCAACTTTGTTTGGAGCGTGGAGTGAAAGATTTGCTGCCTCCTTTCCAGTCTATTGATTATGTTAGAAATCAATTCATCAAGAGATGCGCTGATGAAACTAGTTTGATTGACAAAGAAAATAAAAGCAAATTTGATGGGGAGACTTCTGGGCCAAGCGATGAATTTGTATCCGTGTCTTTGGATTTTGCCGGAGAAAACCAAAAGCTAAATAATCAATCTCATTCCAAGATAAATTCAATTCCTACTAATATTTCATTGGAAGACTCGGGAGTAGAGACAACAGGTCCTCCTACATCCCAAAATAGCGAGAACACAAACCAATCTCCGGTCAAGAAGTGTAGACTGATAGTGAAAGTGGGTACCCGAGCTGATCCTGGTTCTAACGAAGATATTACTGCTACAACAAATTGTGCGACGTTTCCAGAACCAATGGCTTCAAAAGTGTGCCCCGTTTGCAAGACTTTCTCGTCCTCTTCCAACACCACCTTGAATGCTCACATTGATCAGTGCCTTTCTATGGAGTCAACTATTACGTGGACGCCCAATTCTGGGGCGACTAAGCATAGAATAAAGCCGAGGAAGACAAGATTGATGGTGGATATCTACGCAACCGCCCCACACTGCACATTGGAAGATCTCGATAGAAGGAATGGGACAAATTGGGCCATGAATTCTAGTTTGCCTAATCAAGAGACCGCGGAGGGAGTTGAATTGGAAAAGCAAAGAGTGTTGTCACCTGTTAATTTCAACGACAATGGCAATGAAGGTGCAGTCTATATTGATGCCAATGGCAGAAAACTTCGGATTTTATCAAAGTTCAATGATACATCTTCGTCGGTACCAGAAGATCACGGACCTCAAAAACCTTTCACAGGTAGAGTAAGGAAATTGCTTTCAACCTACAAGAAGACGAAGCATCATTCACAGAAACATAAAAAATATCTGAAACTTGCTCAGAGCAAGAAATTTTGCTCTTCCAAGCTTCAACGTACTTCTGAGGTACATCACTTTCTTTTACTAACAGTGATTATAGTTACATTATTTATATTTTGAGACTGAATAAACTTCTCCAACTGGTATATGCTATTTGAGAAATTAATAACCATTTTGAATCCAGTGAAAGATTAAACAAGCTAAAATTTTTAATGGACTTTGTTTTACATGCTCCCAGTAGAGATTAGTATGATATGCTTGCGTTGAATTTCTTTTCTTTACTTCTTATTCTTTTTCGGACAATCTCATTTGGAATTTCTGGTATCCGGTTGAAGATTGAAAAACTGCTGGATTACAAAATGTTGATTTTTTACTTTTAACATGGTTATTAAACTTCTGTTAAACAGATACGTAGAGATGTAGTTACGAATTTTGCATTGGAAGAGAGTCGCGAGAAAGGAGAGAGCATGTCGACGTGGCCCTTCAAAGCTCAAGAGCGGATCAAATGTAATGATTTGGGAACTATAACAAAATGGGCGTGCTCTAAAAGAACTGGTCTCGTGAAGAGGTGGAATCGTAAGGAAGGGCTTCGCCATCTGAGATGCAATTATAGGCAGGATTTGCAAGTTGAAAGTGATCAATCATCTTTTGGTGATTCATATCAGAAGACTCGAAACTCATCAGAGGGTTCACTTTCTTCTCCTGAAAGCAGCAAGAGAATGGAGAATTCGTCATTTGAAGCACCCGTTAATGAATTCAATGAGCAGCCTCCTGTGAGAAAGAGACTCGGGTTTTCTGCTTTAAGGTCTCGAATCAGTGGCAAAATGGAGAGGGTTCTAGAATCACCAAAGCACAATGGGAAGCGGTTGAGGAAAGACAACACATCTGTGGATGGAAGTTTCAAGGATTTTGGCAAGAAACAAGTTGAGATCAATACCAGTCTAGTCAAAAATAGTTCTCATGATGTTTGCTCAAATCTGTCACGGAGTCATCATTCATTCTCACCAAAAGCGACAAAGTTCTCATCCTCGAGGAAGCGCTTGTTGTCGGTCAATCAGTCATCTGTGCTTGAAACCATGTATAAGTTGAATCAGAAGTTTTCAGCCCGTAAGAGGTCTAAAGTGCATTGTGTGGCAAACTTTCATAAAGAGGCAATGCCGTTGCCTTCTGATGTTTTTGAAAAACATGATTCTAGGGAGAATGTTGAAAATCAATCTAGAATAGAAGAAAGCACTGCAAACGTGTCTCGTGGCTGTGTTTTTAAAATCAGAAGGAAGAGGAGAGTGTTTTGTATCTCTGATGGCGAGCAATCCATGAGTTTGAAATCCGCTTTGGAGTTTCACAGTCAGGATATGGGCAACAATGTTGATTCTTCTGCTAGAGTTGACAGTGATTTGGAAGAAACATTTGATGATATAGAATCGGGTAGAAAAAAGATTCAAACTCATAGAGAAGACATTATTATGAGTTTGAGCAAAGATACAGATTTCTCCAATACCCTAGTTGGCTCATTGCAATCTAATGTATTTAAGAGTGGTGATGAACAAGAGATGTTTTGTCTAGATGAAGTTTGCAATGGTGTGATAGATCAAAGCACTTACATGGGGACAGAAATGGATTATAAAGACGGTCAAGGAAATTACTTTATTGAGGTTGATCCGATACCTATTCCAGGACCGCCAGGATCATTTTTACCCAGTCCTAGGGCTGGTGATATGGGCTCAGAAGATCTCCAGGGAAATTCATCACTAACGACTAGCCGAGTTCAATCCTTTGAGGATCATCACCACGATATGGTTGATAGGGATTCATCAGATTCTCCTATTTCTGCCATGTCAACTGTTTCTAACTCTACAATTGCAAGATCCGATTCCAAATCTTCAGAAAAATTGTATGTAGGACAACACATCGCACATGATGAGATTCCACAAGCAGCGGCCATACAAGCAGACACAATCAATCTAGATGAAAGAGTTGACATGATTGTTGTCCCAGAAAAGGGACCCACCAGTTTCAGAAATGATCAGCCGTGCTGTTGCTCGCGCAGGGAGGGAACGTCTATGGGCGTTTCTTTAAATTATCAAGAGTCACAACTTCTAAGGAGACGGAATTGTGATTCAAACAGAAGATCCAACAGTTTGAACTCAAACCCTGAAGTGAAATCTCTCGGTGATTTCCCAAGTTCAGGATCAGGAAAGGTGGGTCCCCTTGTCATGAAACCGGCTGCAGGTCCGATTTCTGCTGATGTGACACTTACGTCCCCAGTTCATGGGGATTATGATTCTGCGAGCCCATCTACTTCCAATTCAGTTCTCAGGCTGATGGGGAAAAATTTAATGGTGGTCAACAAAGATGACAATGCATCCCAACAATTAAATCCGCAATTTTCGACGCTCCATCAACACTCCCTCATCTCTTGCCAGAGTCAACGCAACATGGGTTTTGAATCCAAGTTTCCAGACAGTTTTGGAAGCCATGTTACTTCTAAGCCACCACAAACACCTTCTCCATCAGGTATGTTTTCAAGCAGGAACATGGGTGGTTTTTTCACAACCACCTTCGAGCCCCATGAATACGAAGTTCGATTCAATTCACCTGCTGATCAAGATAGTTCAAGAAATGAGCCACATGAATACAAAGTTCGATTCAATTTGCCTAATGATCAAGAAAGTTCAAGAAACAGACCATATACTCCTCCTTTGGCATACGATACGAACAAAGTAGTAACAAATGCGAATTCTGACATCAATCCCATGAAAGAGATCATAATCATTGATGATTCTCCTGATGGGGAAACTGTTTCAGCCGCCATTTCTCTTCCAATCACTGCCAATTATAACCCGAGCCATGCGAATGCTAGTCCAATTAAGTGGAATTGTACTTCAGAAGGTTCATCTGTCCTGCCTCCGAGTTCTTTAATGGCTTCATCATTGACAGGTCAACTTGGATCTTCATTGTACTATTCTCCGAGCTTTTCATAATCCACAAGCTTTGTTGCTGCTGCTTTTTGATTTCACATCAAAATTGAGCTGAAACTACTAGAACTTTTGGTGTTGAGTTTGCAGTGGCATGAAGTACTGTGGTTTCTAAATGAAAGTCTTGAATCGAGTCTTTGATCAAGTTGCTGCTAAAATTATACGTTGTGAAACTTTCGTAGTTTTAAGCAGCTTTTGAGGAGGCTTCTTAGAGACTGATGTACAATCAAACTTTTAATAATATGTTTACTCTGAGAAACTTTTTTCCATACATGAACAATGTTTAGTTTTATCATTCAACATAAGTTATTGACTGCTTTTGCTTTTCAAGCATTTGTCATTTTTAATTTTTGAATTACTACTGTTCTTTTCTTAGTTTGAATTTTTTGCTATGGTGTGTGAGTTAGCTTGTATATCACTGAGAGTTGGCATCAGCCTGATACTGACACAAAACAAACGAGGGATGGGCTGTCCGGACAGTGATATCTTGGTCTGTGGACCTCATCACGGGCCCACTTCCACTTCCATAATGTAATTCGTTTACCTTGTTGATCCATGTATGTCGATCATTTGTGAGAAAAAAAATTAGGTTGATTTAATAATTATAACCATATAATTTTATCGTGTTTCGTCTTTTAAAAATAAACGATTGAAGATAAATGTGATTAAGTCATCTGACTGCAATTATTGAATTAATATGATTTTTTTATGAGTGATGGGTAAGTCTCACAGATATAGACAACATCGTCCAACCTAATAACGAAATATATATGCAAACTCGCCCACTATATACATGCTTATTGATTGATTTTGTAATTGGTTTTGTAACTAGTTACGTATATACATGTTCAATGATTAATTCTGTAGTTGATTATGTATTTTCGTGTCAAGAAAGTCCTAATAATTGAAGGCACTTGCCTGGTTGTGTTGACATGACTGGTGGTTTGCATGGCCAAGAATGGTGAGAGTGATGGCATTTCTGGTAACCGTGGCCACCACTGGTAGTTTTGTGTTATATTCATACTTGTTTTTAAAGTCATAGTTGTGGGGTAGACATTAATAGGAAGAGCCAATATGTATGACTTCTTAATTTTTTTTTCGTTGGATATGTTGTTTCATAAATCTTAAAACAGACAATCACCACTTTAATCAACAAGCTATATATGCACAAGTTTTTTTTTTGTTTTTATTCTCGTCTTCTTCTTCTTCTTCTTCTTCATGTTAGGTTTGCATTATTGTATTGTATGTACTGAAAGCTGACAGGGTGAGCAGCCTCCATACAGGACTTGCATATATCAAAGTGATGCATGAAGGACCCATCACAAGGAAATGATAACAGTGCTACGTATTCATAAAAAAAAATATATATATATATATATACATATTTAAAATTTGATCTAGAATTTAAAATTTTATTTTTTGTATAAACCACAACATAATAATTTTTTATTTGCCCCATTCCTGATACACCAAGAACCATTAGAGGGATGTACTAATATTATGTCAAAATAATAATAATTTTTTATTTATCGATTATGCTAATTTCATGAAATTATTGTACTTGTACTATTACCTAAGATATTTCACTGTGAAGGTTTCAAACCAATGTTGTGTTTTGATTATTTTTCTCAGCTTCTTAATTTATTTATTTTCAGTGTTATCTTCTCCTTTTTTATCTTTCTTTTGGTTCTTCAAAAGATTAATAATGCACATTATTAATAATAACTCCATGGAGCATGAGTGAAACAAAGCTTTGCCCATCATCACATGAAATATAGCCGTTACAAGTTGACGTTATGAACAGTATGTACTTTGCGTGTGCTTTTTTGATTGTGAATTGTGAGTGTGAGAGAAAGTGTGTTTCTCTGTGGAGGTCAGAGAGAGAGAGAGAGATGGGTGGGTACACAAAAAGGCCGTTGGAAGACTAGGAAGGGCAATGCTGTAGAGAAATTATTTTGCGTTAACGGTATGTTATCTGGTTGAGTTTATTTGGTTATTTTACTATTTATTGATTTTCATATAGTAGAAATGGGGCTTGATAAGTCACTTTGTACTCGGTTTGAGGTGCTAAGTATTTGATTATAACAAGTTTTGGTCTCATTATGGGAGAATACATTATGTTAGTTCAATTACGTGATGTATCGATTACATAAAATATTTGTTCTAATAAGACGAGCTTGGTTCGGTATTGAGTTCTCTTTCATTTAATAGAGTAGGAATGAGATGATGAAAATAGAGACGTGATGGGACAAGATATGACGTGTTATAATAATTTATCATATGAAATAGTATTAATAAGAGATATGTAACATAACATATATGAAGGATAACAATTAATTAAATATAAGAGATAAAATTATCAAAAAAAAAAAAAGAAAAAAATATTTTGATATTTTACTTTTGTTATATTAAGGAATTAGATTATGTACCGGTGCATTAATATCAAAGGTCAAAAAAATCTTACAAACAAGTGAAAAAATCAAAAAAATACATTAAATTTTAGTAAATAGTAATTTTAATAAAAAGTGTTTTATGCTCAAGTTTATTTTTATTCTTTTTTCTTTTCTTTTTAAAGTTGTTCTGCAAAAACACTTTCTTTGGAATATATAAATAAATAAATAAATTTTAATTTTGATTGTTGTAAAAAAAAATATTGTTGTAAAAAAAAATAAAAAATTAAATGGTTGATATTTTTGGGCAATTGGTGTGGTGATAGAATTGGAATGCGTATAGTATGGTGGTGGAGTTTGGCTCTTTTGGAAGGTGATTATAATTTATTTTTCAGGTTATAATTTTTTTTTTCTTATAAAAAATTAATTATAATTAATTTTTAATTAAAAAATTAATTATAATTATCTTTCCAAAATAGTCCTGAAAAGCTCAAATAATAAATTAAATAATAAAAATCTTTCTTTCTTTTCTTTTTTTTTTTTTTTTGGTAAATAAAAGTCTTTTGAAAAGAGCTGAAAATGCTCCAAGTGGGGGGTCCACCTTTTCATATACCACGGTCACAACCATTAATGTTTGGCCTTTCGAACACGCCCAAACATTAAAAAATGAAAAGTTGTCTCTATGACCATGACTTAAAATAGCCACAAAAGATAAAACAGGCTATTTTAGTCACAACAAACAAAACATCACATCCAACCCATAATCATTACACTCTTCTCTCACAAAAAAAATCAAAAAAGCCAAAAAGCCAAAAAGCCATTCCCAAACCAAACTTTTTAGCCCAGGCTAAAATAGCCAAAAAAGCCAAAAAGCCAAAAAGCCAACCCACTTCCCAAACGGAGGCTATACCTGTATACATATTTACTACAGAAGCCCCAAAATTATTTTCTAATATCATTGGCTACCTCTAACATTTCAAAATATCAGTAAACACCTTGTGAAAATAGTATAGGCAAAACAAGGGTCGGTGGCATCTGATATCATATCACCTTAACTTCATCAACAAGGTCTCTTTTAGGCCAAAACCCCTTCCTATGAGCAAGAGAAAAAGTAGACCTTCAAGCCAAGTTAGGGTCAACAAATTAAGTCTAGTCAACAAACTTGAGCTATAAAAGAGAACAACTTCTATATCTATATATGAATTATTGAAAACAAAAGCAAGCGAAGCGATAAGACAATAAGCACTTATAGTCTTATAGTTCAATTTTTGTATGCAATTAAGCAAGTTATAACTTGAAGCGAGAAAAAAAATCTACGAGGGCTCGTTCTGTGAGGAATACTAGCATACTTAAAAGAACAACAATCCATAACGATAACCTGATGATATATCTATTATGCAAAGAATCAGAGTTAAGAAGACTTGTAAGCTAAGCTTTAAGCAAACACTGATAGCTAATGTGATTTGATTTTAAAGGCTAAAGGAAACTAATTCATGCCAGTACGGATTCTTAAGTAAGCAATAATAAACACAATAATGCCTAAGCAGTGGAGTTGTGATTCTTAAGTATGTTGTTTCAAGTGAGTTGTCAAGTAAGTCAGGTAAAAAATAAGTAAGGCTAGCTTATTCCAAGTAAGAGAGACAAGCTCTGCATTACTACCTCTTAGAGCATCTTTAATGGATATGTTTTGGTGTGTATTAGTATAAGATGTTAGTAAAAAGATATGAGTGAGGTTTTTTTGTTGGTTTGATGAAGTTGTTAAGTGACTTGCTAATGTGATATGTTAGTTCAAATGTTAACTGTGAAAAATAGAGACAAAAATGAAACATAGAAGAAGAGAGAAAAAGAGAAAGTCAAGGTATTGCTATACTCTTTCATTTCTTCCCATCCCTCCCTCCCTCCCAAAAAAATGTTATTCCATCACATTTCCATATTGCCTAACAACTTTGTCTACCTCATTCCCTAACCATCAAAGCAACCATAACCCCTTCTAAACCCTTGCCTTTTAATGCAAAACAAAGTTTGGTGTAATTGACAATTGTGTTTGGTCCAAATACAAGGTTTGCATTTGCATCTAACACAAAATTACACTTGCAACCATGTTAAAAGATTCTTGAGGTGACTTGTAAATTTGGATGTTTTTAATGTTTCTTTATAAGGTCTAAAGCGACTTTGGCCCCATTTGACAATACTTTGTTTTTTTTAAATTTTATGTATTAAAAACAAGTTAAAATTTAAAATAAAATAAAAAACCAAAATAGCACATCATATACATTAATTAACTATTTTTTTAATCACAACGCCTACGAAAATCATTCCAAAAAAATTTATTTATTTCACCTTATTAAAAAATCAAGTTTTCAAACGAAGCCTTGCTTCATTGAGGTTCTTTCCATAGTACAACTTCTCTCCAGTCTAAATTGGATAAGAGGGTGTTGTTAGGCCTTTGTGGGCTCACCACAAAACCTTCATTGATGATCTAAACCATTCAATGTGTAGGCCTCGCCGAGTATTTTATTCTTACAAAATATCACGTTGATCGGATATTGATAACTACTAAATTAGATCATATTTGTATCAACACTAAGTATATTTTTTAAAATAAATTATTCATACAAATGTGATTTAATCAAATGGCTATCGATATCCGATCAACATAATTTTTTACAAGAATAAAGTACTTGACGAGTCCTATATATTAACGGTTCAGATTATCAATATAGATTCTGTGATGGGCCTACAGAGGTCTAATAGCACTCTCCAATTAGGTGGAGAGAAATCTCTCCCTAATTTAAAATTATATATATATATATATTAAAAAAACAAGAAAGAGAAAGAGAGAGAGGAACGACACAAATGATTAGCCCTAGGCAAATGTAATGGTCCCAAACTAAGCCCATCGACCCATTGAGAAAATAATAATCGGCAAATTATTCACGAGTCCTTTTTGAAAAGTGTATGTTCTATTTAATCCTAAATATTTTTAGATAAATTCAAAAGTTTGGTACCAATTTATCTTGCTCTCTTTCTCTACACCTTACTTCTTCTTTTTATCTCTCTTTCTCTGATATCAGTGATAACCATGACCACACCTTCCTTGTTTTTTTTCTCTTTATAATCTACAGCCACCGGTGACCGACGACCACCATTAATTATTGTTTATCGGTAACCACCGTGTCACGACCCAAACCCGCCCTATGGGTTTAGCACCGTAACTGGCCAATAATTCGTGATTACCGAAGGCCTGCTTAACAGTAATGACAGTAATACAGAGTAAAAGGGCTGGCGGAAGTCAAAACAGTAATTAAAAGATGTCCAATGAGCTGTGGCAGTCTGAATGCGAAAAGACTTTTAAAAACAAAACCACATTCATAAACAAAACATATATACATCATACATCTTATACGTAAACATCCAGGTTAGGGACCAAATCCCTATACCATAACTGTACAGTCAAACTTATTCAATCTATACAAAACAGAGACGAAAATGGTGATTCTGGAACACCCCAAAACAGCCTTAGCTTGAACGGACTTGGAACTTCGAGGCGAGGCACAAAGGTTGGCTTGACAAAACAAGAGCTAACTCGACACTCCTAGCTCCGGTCTGGTGCCTGGACACCTACATATATATATATATATATATATATGAACAGTGAGCTAAAGCCCAGTGAATAACAGCTATGTAAAGAGGTTAAGAATGAATGTCCTTTCAGTAGTTAAACAGTCATATCAGTCATTTATAAATCATAGCAGTCATATATGGTACATTCAATAGCAAAATAGTACAGTAGGTCTTAACAGACCGAACAGTCAGTTGATGGCTATCATAACAGTAAACAATAGTGGTTCCAAACATGGGAACCGACAGAGATCTCTGTGGCAGTAGCAGTAACAGTACAGTAACAGTAAATTGCTATGGATGCCACGGATACAGTTTACAAATTGGACAGACATTCATTTATTAAACAATAACGTTTCAGTAAGCAATACAGTTGATCATTCAGAAAATAATCATAATTGAACATATCTTTATAACATTGTTACTCACAGAGCATTGGGCTATAGACAAGCTAACGAGCGTTCTCGGATGCTAACCCTACAGTTGCAGAACGAACACACACTCGGGATTAATAAATTAGCCCCTAATTATACTTGGTGTGGTTCTATAACATTATCCTCATTAATGTAATAACCCCGACCTCCGATTAATGCTAATCCATGATTATTTATGCCTAACAGTAATTTAGAAGGAATCAGGAATTAATTTACATATGTATTGCATTATCTTTGCGTTTCTATCTATTTGCCATAAAATAATCTATTCATGTTTAGATTTTGAACTGCGAATTGAAAGCCTTATCGGTGTTCGATTTTGAAATTGACTTGATATATATGTTAGTTAGGATTTATAGAATTTTATGGTAGATTTAATTAAAATTCGGTTCGGAACGATTAAATTAGATTAAATAATGTTAATTTACACTTGTTTGAGTTATTACAAGTTTGCCACTTAGTGGCTTGATTCTAGACAACCTTTAATTGCCTTATTACATATTGGATGCATCTTTGCTCATCATCTTGTGACCAAAACGTGAGAGAGGGAGAAAATTGAAAGATTTGGGTCTTGGTTTAATAATTTCATTCACAAGAAAGAAGCTTGAAGATTTGTTCATCTAGTTCATAATTCTAGCACCTAAATTCCAATTTAGCATCTAAGGTATGAAACTAAGCCTTTAACATTGGGTTGAGCCAATTTATGCATGAATTCTAGTAGTTGGAGCTAGAAGATATGAGAATCAAGCTTACGGAGTAGAAAAGTAGATCAATCCATACATGCATGCACAAATTTCCATGTTTTGAGTTGGAATTCTAAGATTTCTTCCATGCATGTGTCAATTTCACTCATATTATAGCCATTCAACTTATTTTCCATCAAATTATTAAGTTTGGTTATGTTTTGGAAGGTTTGAATTCAAAGAGGTTCTTGAATGTTGAATTAATAGCATGTTCAGCCTGTGTTTGGCAAGTGGGTTTGCAGGCTTGTTTGGCTATTTTAGCCACAAAAAACAAAATATGCTATTTTAGCCATAACAAACAAAACATCACATCCAATCCATAATCATTACATTCTTCTCTCACAAAAAAATTCAAAAAAGCCAAAAAGCCCTTCTCAAACCAAGCTTTTAAGCCCAGGCTAAAATAGCCAAAAAAGCCAAAAAGCCAACACACTTCCCAAACGGAGGCTCATAAAGTTCATGTTGATTTTGCACAAATTGGTTTACTCTTGGGCCATGATTTCTTGAATTGAAGCTTTAAACATGTTGTTTTATAGATTAACAAGTGTTTTCCAAAGTTTTGGCCCAGGAAATTGAGTTTTGGATGGTTGAATGTTGAATTTCATGTTTGGAGGCCAATATGGATTTTCCAGAAATTTGACCCACGCTCGAGCGGGGACTTTCGCTCGAGCGTGAAAGCTGAAGTACATGCACTTCCACGTTCAAGAGCGGCGAGAGTCACGCCCCAGAAGTTTGTGTGTTTTGCAATCCGCTCGAGCGGAGAAAACCACGCTCGAGCGAGGGTTTGTGTCACACGCTCGAGCGGGGGACGAACGCCTGTCGAGCATGAATTTCCTGTATCCAGCACTTTTTCATAAGTTTGCAGTTCACTCGAGCGGGGAAGTCCACGCTCGAGTGGGGCTTTTTTTTCTGCATGTCCGCTCGAGCGGGGAAAGCCATGCTTGAGCGTGGACCTTATCTTTAGCAAAATTTGAGAAATGGTTTTCAATGCATTCTTGCATCCTCATTCCATCCTAGGCATTCCTAGGCCATGTTTAAGACCCTTTAATGAGGATAAGAGATTAAAAACACACTAAGAGCCAACAGAATAAGTTTTGTACAATTAGAACGTGTATTTCAAGTGTGCATCTGTTATGTGTTGTGTAAGTCACGTACCACGTACCGTTTGACCAAGTTTACTCCATCCGTCCGTCTCAAGGCCCACTGTGAGTAATAACTCTGTAAAGTTATGTTTAATTTAAATATTTTCTGACTGGTATGGTATGATCTGTTTTCTGAAATGCTATCTTATGAATTATGAATGAATGTCCAATTTTCTGAAAAGTATTTGTGGCACCCTTAGTTCACGTGGCCCTCGCCCGGGGGTAACAATATAGTGGCCCTCTGCACATGGCCCTCACCCGGGGGTAACAATACCGCGGCCAATCTGCACGTGGCCCTTGCCTGGGGGTAGCAATACCATGGCTACTTGCACGCAAGATATGGACCTTTATGGTCGTTGGTACCAACTATACATGTGGGTCTCTGGACCAAATTGATCTAATAGCTAATGGGTGTACCACGTATGATCTTATGCAAAATCTGAATATGAACATGAGTGTGTATCTAAATCTATTTCTATTCTGAAGTCTGAATATGTTCTGATTTAAATACTGAATTCTAACTTGTGCTGGACATCATTCATAAAACCTCTTTACTCTGTTATTATTCACTGGGCTTCCGCTCACAGTTTATATTATGTATGTAGGTGAGCCAGCAAGTGATCAGGGCCAGAGTTGACGGCCTTCTGTTCTGTTTTGTCAGCCAACTATTGCGCCTCCCGAGGAGGTTCCAGTCGAAGTCTAATGCTATGGATGTTTTTGTATTCATACTAGTCTCTGTATGTGTTTTGTAAAGACAGGTCTTAAGATGTAATACTTTGTAAATATTGGTGACCTTTGACTGGCATGCTTATGTATATATATAAGTTTTGAAATGTTCCGTCCCATGTACATTATCACAGCTCATTGGACCTTGTCTATTTGTATTATTGCTTCTCCCTTATTATTTGCTAATCTGCTTAGAGGCCTTTGGTAATCCACGGATTACTGGCCAGTCACGGTGCTAAACCTACAGGGGCGGGTTTGGGTCGTGACAATTAAGATGCCTTAAACTAGGCATAGGAATGCCTAAGATAGAATGAGGATGCAAAAATGCACTTTAAAACACTTTTTAGAATTTGCTGAAACAGAGGTCCACGCTCGAGCGGACATGCAGACAACGAAGCTCCGCTCGAGCGTGACTTCCTACGCTCGAGCGGATTGCAAACTTCATGAAAAGTACTGGATACATGCAATTCACGCTCGACCTCCGCTCTAGTGTAAGACTTAGGTCCTCGCTCGAGTGTGAACTCTCTCACTTGAGCAGACTGTAAAACACAAGAACTTCTAGGCATATGCATTTCACGCTCGAGTATGACTTTCCACGCTTGAGCGGAGATGTACGACTCAAACTGTATGCTCGAGCGTGAAGTCCTACGCTCGAGCGTGGGTCCAAAATCTGGAATTTCCATATTGAACCTCAAGCATGAAATTCAACTTTTAAAGCTTCAAATTCAATCCCCGTGGGCTAATTTTCTAGAAAACTCTTGGAAACTCATAGTATAACATGTTTTGAAGATCAATTTGAAAAATCAAAGCCCAAGGGTAAGTCAATTAGGCACGAATTTCAAATAAACTTCAAGAACAAGATGTACGTTTAACATGCATGTGTTTAATTGAATTCAAAGCACCTAACACATGATCAAATGAGTTAATCCTTCCAAAAACATGATGAATTCATGAACTACAACTAGAAAATGGACATGCATGTGGAAATTCATGAAGAACAACCTCAAAATTCAAGGATATGAACATGCATGCATGGATTCACACTCAAATTCAACTCTTTACTTTAATTCTTGACTTAGATCACCAATTTACCATGGGCCATGCAAGTAACAACTTAAATACACAATTGAGATGATGAATTCCTTACTTAGGTTTTGAATTCCAAGTATTAAAGCTTCAATTACACAATCTCTCTTCAATTTCTCTTAAGTTCCAAGCCAAACTTTGTTGAATCAATTCTTTCATTCCAATTCTCTCTCTCTCTCACACATTTGGTCTCAGAGATGAAATGGATGGCATATCAAACATGAGTGAAGTAGAAAAAGAATAGTCTTGAATCAAGCCACTAAGTGGCAATTGTATAAATATTGCACTAATGTAATTTAACTTTATTTAATCTAATTTAATTATACCAAATCACATTTCAATTAAATCCACCATAAAATCACATAAATTCTAATTAGCATAAAATACCAATCAATTCCGGAATCGGTCGCCGATAAAACCTTCAATTCGCAATTCAAAGTTAAAACATGAACAGATCATTTGGTGACTAATAGATAGAAATGCAATTAAACAACATACTCATGCAATCAGTTCAGAATTTCATTCTTATCAATTACTTATCATGCTTAATCAGAGATTAGCACTAATAAAAGGTGAGGGTTGTCACACACCGAGTACTGACTCCCTGCTTTGCGTCTACCGATGGCGAATGAGATGAGTGTGCGACGAAGAAGATACATCATATTTGAGTAGATCTACGTCAGATCCGGCTACACAAAAAATAGTTGTCAAAGAACAAGTATCTTTTTATATCTGTCTTTTTCCTTCGATCTCTCATTTTTTTTTACTTTTTTTATACTACAGACTTCCATTTCCTTGTTATCATAGAGAAAATTTTTAATTTTTGAACAAGTTATTTTCGAGTTTTAGTTATAGACGGTGAAAATTGTAAAATTTTATAATTTCAGTTTTTTTGGTGTTGAAATAAATCAGTCTTTAGAACTGTAAGATTTTGTGATTTCATAACTTTCTTTAAAATTGTAAAATTTTACAATTTCATAACATGTTTTTCAGTTTGATTAATAAGGATAAATACTTAATAGAATCATACTTTGAAACTGTAACATTTTATAGTTTCAAAACTTATTTTTCAGTTTGATCAATATTAGAGATTATTTACTTAAACCCTACAAAAATTAAAAGTAACATATGTTTTTTCTTTTTCTCATTGTTAGTTTTTTTTCCTCTCTCTCTCTCTTCAGTTTATCAATATTTAGGACATTTTGCTATATTTTTTTTATTATAATTTCACAATTTATTATTTTTTTTGGCAATTTTCTGAAAATTTTGGTGAGTCTCTGGTGATATTCTTAATGTTCAGCGAACGTTCTACACATTCCGACGACTTCCAGTGACGTTTAGAACACTCCAGTAATACTTTGACAAATTTTCGATAATACTCCGATAACTTTCCGATGATATTGAACATTCTAGAGAGTCTCCGGTGATTGTCAGATGAAAGTCCAGTAGTGGTGGAATGTAACAGCTTCTTTAAATTTTAAAAAATTAAATAAATTTTTTAGTAACAATTAAAAATATATAAAACTAATTGATGTAAATATTTTATTTTGAGGCCAAGTGAATTTTAAATTATATGAATGAAATTTATGAGTAAGTTCCCCAATAATCAACGGCAACCATTTTTATTGTCAGAAAAATGATGTGTCACACAGTGTAGCGGTGAGCATAGCATTTACTGAGTGGACCCTACTGCAGACGATCTAAACTATTGCATCTGACAATCCTCCCTCCCACTTAACCCTGACCCTAAATACCTTCAAAACTTTGAAGGGTTGTTGGCGGTCAAAAATTAGTCAAAAAACACACCCAACCATGCTTTCTCCCACCACCACCACCTCCGCCGCCGCCATTTCCACGGCGTCCTACACCACCATCCCCATCTCCGGCGATGACGTCATTTCCCGATCAATCCAGAACGTCTCGGACACCGTCTCTCGTCACCGCCCATGGTCCGAATTCATCGCCGCCGGGGTCTTCGACAGCCCAGAATCCCTCTCCGCCGCCGGCCTCCGCCTCCAGAAGAACTCCAAGTACTTCAGCATCAACTACGCGATTCTCATCTCGATCTGCGCCGCCTTCTCTATCCTCCTCACTCCGATTTCTCTGATCGCCTACGCCGCGGTCTTCGCCCTCTGGCTCGTCCTCGTCTTCTTCCGCGAAGATCCGATGGTCGCTTGGGGTTACCATGTGAGCGATCGGATCGTGATCGGAGGGCTTGTTTTGGTCTCCGCGATGGCGATTTGGTTCGCTGGAATGGTCAACTATTTGTTGATTGGTGTTGCTGTTGGACTTTTGATCTCGGCCGTTCATGGCGCTTTGAGAAATCCGGACGGTCTGTTTCTTGACGAAGACGACGCTGTTTCTGACGGTTTGATCGGTGCGAACTCGAACTCGAACTTGAATTCGAATCCTCAAAGAAAGGATTTCTGGAATTAGTTTTCTTTTGTTTTTTATTTTGACTTGTGATTATAATTTGATCATTGAATTTAGGATGAGATTTTTCAAAATTCTAATTTCATTGGGAAGAGTTGCATTTGCGACTCATGTTTGGTGTGTGTGTGTGTGTTTTCTTTGTAATTTATATTCAATGTTGTTGTGTTGTTATCAACAAGATTGTTCTTGGTGATTGAATTCAAAAAGAGAGATTGTTCTTATTGATAAATGTGTGTCAATGGAGAAGTTTTGAATTTGTTTTTAGTTCAGGTTGATTTGACCTAATGATGAACATAATTGTTATATATTCATGTAGGTACACTGTCCCACATCGATCACAGCTCTACTATATAAGTGAGCTAATTCCCTTAGATTAGTACGACGTGCTTTAAAACCGTGAGAGGGTTAGCTGCTATTGTGCTAGTTGGGCAGGGCTAGCTGCTCTGCACTATACCTCATCGCTTTGTGATTCCACTACATAAGTGGATTAATCCTTTTAAAGCCGTGAGGGGTTTGTTCTTAGGGGTGTAATTTGGGCGGGTTCAATTCGAGTAATTTGAATTTAGTCTGAATTTTTTTAGGGTTTGAATAAAATATTTTTAAATTCGGTACGGGGGCAAAAATTCAGAAGTCCGAATTAAATTTGGACTGGCTTGGGCAAAGACGTCAAATAACCCGAGCAACCCGAAACTCAAATTATACATATATAGATATATAAAAATATTAAATATACATATAAATTATTAACCATTACATGATATTAAAGTAATTTATATTATTAAATCATATTGAATATATATTATATATTCAAATAACGTAAAATTTTAACTTTTTTTCTTTTTATTCTCACTCATAAATTGTAAGGACTACTATAGTGACATCTCTCTTACATTATATAAATTATTTATTTTGATGGTATTAATAATTTTCTATTAAAAAAAATTGTAAATAGATTCAGATTTTAATAATTTAATAATGTAGTTGCAAAAAAAAAAAAAAAACTGAAATTCATTTACAATTCGGGCAATTCAAGCAACTCTGACAATTCAGGTTTAACTCGGACAATTCAAGTTTAACTCGGGTCGGGCTTGGGCAGACAACCTCGGGTTACAATTCGGGTTTGGGCAGATCTCAGCACAACTTGGGTTGGGCTTGGACAACCTCTGAATCTGCTCGAGTTGCACCCCTATTAGTTGCTATCGTGTTAGTCTGTGAGAGTTAGCTGTTTCATTTTATGTAAGTGCACTATCTCACATCGCTCTGTGAGAGATCATAGCTCCACTACATAAGTGGACTAATTCTTTTAGACTAGTACGAGATCTTTTAAAGTTGTGAGGGGTTAACTATTATCGTGCTAGTCAGGGAGGGTTAGCTGCTTCATTTTATATGGGTGCACTATCCCACTTCGCTACTATCATGCTAGTCAGGGAGGGTTAGTTGCTTCATTTTATGTGGGTGCATTATCCCACAGGTACACTATCCCACATCGCTCTGTGAGAGATCTCGACTCCACTACATAAGTGGACTAATTCCCTTAGACTAGTATGAGGCCTTTTAAAGTCGTGAGAGATTAACTACTATCGTGCTAGTTAGGGAGGGTTAGCTGCTTCATTTTATGTGGGTGCATTATCCCACATCGCCATTAACTGCTATCGTGCTAGTCAGGGAGGGTTGGCTGCTTCATTTTATGTCGGTGCACTATCCCACATCGCCCTAACTCCCTTAGACTAATATGAAGCTTTTTAAAGTCGTAAGGGTTGGCTGCTTCATTTTATGTTAGTGCACAATCCCACTTCGCCCTAACTCCCTTAGACTAATATGATGCCTTTTAAAGCCGTGAGGCGTTACTAGCACGATATTGTCCGCTTTGGAGTTTGCTGAAAATCAGTAGCCTATGAAGCATGAACACCTCTTTGGAGGCAGCGTATGGGTGTCGGACACGGACACGCGTCGAACACGCGGTGGACATCTCTGTTATCAGAATCTTACGATTCGCGATTCGATTCACGATTCGATTCGTAATTTTTGCAAAATCGATACGAATCTAAGAGTGAATCTATTTTAGGACACGTTGAAAACATAAAGAAACCCTAACTCGGAGACAGAGAAACACCCCAACCCATTGAAGAGAGAGAGAGAGAGAACCTGTTGAAGCCCTAGATCGAGGCTAGGTCTATTCGTCTTTGTCTCTGATCGAGCCTTGCTCTGTTCGTCTTTGTCTCTGATCGAGGTCTGTTTTTCGTTTCTTTCGTGTCTCTCTGTGTTCGTCTCTGTTTGTCCTCGTCTCTCTCTCTCTCTCTCTGTGTTCAGTGTTCATCTGTTTGTTCGTCGCCTTTCTCTCTTTGTTCATCTCTCTTGTTTGCCCTCTTTCCTTTTTTGTCTGACTCTCTCTCTCTCTCTCTTTTCCCTCTTACTTACTGTCTCTCTCCCTCTTTATTCTTTTTCTTTTTTTTACCTTTTTTCGTAAATAAATAATATAAATAAATAAAAATAATATATATATTTTTTAATTTTACATATAATAATATATATATTTACATATAATAATTTATATATATATATATATTGAGCGTGTCCTCGGCGTGTCGTGTCCCCTATTTTTTAAAAATTTACGTATCCACGTGTCCATGTCGTGTCCCGTGTCCCATGTCCGTGTCCGTGTCCGTGCTTCATAGCTAGCAACTAACCCCTCACAGCTAAGAGAGTTGAAAAGAAAAATAAATAGGTAGAGAAGTGTTTGAAAGTTGAGTATATGATACAGATTTGAAGATTGTGTGGTTGTGAGCAACATTCAGAATTAATATGATTCATACATTTCAATTAGTAAGTATTTTCTAGGTATTGTTATGGAAATGTAGTATTGCTCAATGATAAATTAAGACTTAATCCAAGAATGGACACTAATTGCATATAGTACCAAATACTTCATAATTTGTCTTGTTTTTTTCTTCAAGATGCTGTTCACCGCGACAAATGGTTTAGCCCGTTGGCCTAGAGCGCATGTGCAGATCTTATTTTTGTTGCATTTCTTTTTTAGGTCTCTCCATTTTGGGAGTTTGAACTTCATGGTGATTTGTGCTATAATAGCTTGTTTGTGTGCGGATCTTATTTCTGTTGCATCTTTTTTAGGTCTCTCAATTTTGGAAGCTTGGTGATTTATGCTATAATGGTTGATTCATCTTACTTCATTGTGGTGCATTACATTGTATCAAAAAAGAATGCCATACGCTATAATCGGGTCCTCTAGAGCAGTCATTTATCAAATGAGATATTAGATCATCTTGGGTGGGGAAGAAATCAAGCAACACTTGGTAGAGCTTACATGTTTTTAGGTCTAATCCACCCATTTCACTGGAAAAAGTAGATAATTTTTGTTGGCTGTTTACAAGGCAAGATAATCTTTGGTTGAAATGAACAATAAGAAGAAGACTTTCCCCAACAGAAACTAGTGTGATTCCAATCTAAACGGTTACTTGGAAGTTGATGGTTGTGTATCTAATGATTTATTTGTCATTTAACTGAAGCTAGTGGAATAGTAAGAACAATTTTATGCGTTTATATCTAATTAGTAACATGGTTAGTGTGACTAAAATTGAGCTACAAAAGTGTAGAGTTGATTTATTTGAAAGAGAGAATCAGATCTTACTTGTCAACTTCACGGACTTTGCTAATGTTTGTTGAGCAGCCAGTGTCTGAGCATGGTTTTGGCCCAGCTTCATTGTCCTGATACTAATACAAATTCTGCAGACCTCTAGGAGCCCTAACACGAAGTTGCACGTTGAGAAGGTTGGGAAGGCTCTAATTGCTAGAGGAAGAGCTCTTTTTCTTGAGGAAGAGAAACATATCAATGGCCTTCAGTTGGACGAGTGGTGGCCCAGATTTGAACCCAAAGACAAGGAATGCAGAGGCCCAGAGGTAGTACAAATTGACCAACAGGTTTCCCATTTTTCTTGCACCTTGAACTATCGCTTTAACAGAGCGTTTCAACCATCTTTTTCCTTCTAGCAAATATCTTAGTTATGGTGTGGAACTGGATTGATTACCCAGGCTGCCTATTAACTCTCTGTGCAAAACATAGTTGAAGTAAAAGAGAAGGGCTGACTGTCCTCTTCACTCTTCCATGTTTGGATTGCCAAACAACCACCGGACTTTCATTAGGAATGGATTGCCTCTGCAGAATTGTTCATCACCAATGCTCAAATTAGTAATAGGAGCTTCCTCAATTGGGATCTGATTTACAAGCTTCAAAGAGAGCACATGGCGAAATTGGAAGTTCAGAAAGGAGTTAACCAATCACCTACAGACCAAGACCTGACCTGCCCGTTTACCCATCAAAATTTCCGAGAATTCTACCTTCTCGACTAGGTATTCATTCTTAGGTTTTCCACTGATCAAAATCATCAGTTCAGACAAAGGAAATGGATGAAGCTGCATTGGATCAAAGTTCACGACTCTTGAGAACCTGGTTGTAACAATGACATGGGACCCTCTTGCATGCTTCCGTTTCCTGCTCCTCAAAGGTTCGAATTCTCCCCCTTTCCCTCTCCACATCAGCACTCACATCACATCCAACCCTAACTTGAATGACAGGTTCATAATATTCTTCCTGAAAATACCGAGCCTCACCGCCTACCCATAAAACCATCCTTCGAATCTCTAGGCATACAAGTAAGCAAACTCTAATCGCAAGCTCTGTCTTCCTAACGTCTGCACCTCCATTTATGCGTACTTCTGCCAAAGCTCTTAAGGTGCTGTTTGGTGTAGCTGTTAAAATAGATTATAGATTATAGCTTAACAGATTATAGATTATGACTTTAATCAGAAGCTGTTAATCTGTTTGGTATAGCTGTTGGATTATAGATTTAAGTTGCAGAGTAGTGTTTGTTAAATAAGCTGTGAAGTAACTTTTTTAATTAACTTTTATTTTTTATTGTTCATTATTTGTCTACATTTCTCATAAAAAATAATAATAATATTTTATAGTCTATTTGTGTCTTTTTCTATTTTTAAAAAAATAAAAAATAAAAAAATCTAAGAGTATAACCGTGGATTAATATGTCCATAGCAAAAGCTGATAATCAGAAGCAAGGGGTGAGCAGCTTCTCAGAATCAGCTTTTTTCACTTAAAATAAGTTATTAGAATCAGAAGTTGTTTGAAATAAGTTTAACCAAACAGTCCAAAATAACTTTTTAAAAGCCAGAAGTCATAAGTTGGCTAAAAAAAACCCTACCAAACACCCCCTAAATTTCCCACTTTTTGACTTCTTGTATTGTCATGTGTTTGAATGGTGTTCACAAGATCCATTTTGGCTGTTCTAGAGAGTAGAAAGACTGAACTTTTTGTTGGATTCTGATAAAATATATTAGCCGATCATTCATTCTATGCACGGAATAATTATATATATTTATATTTATATTTATTTTTTTTAATATATAAATTATATTTTTTAAATTTTTTATAAAAATAATTTAACAATCTTATCACTAACCATAGTGTATATGAGAAATTAAAAAGGCTACTACAGTAACTATTAGCACGGGCTGTATTATTTATTTGTATGAGGGAATTTTAGAATACTAATCAGAATTTTGACCAAATCAATAAATCGCAGGCTGGTGGATTGAAAAAGATTAATAAATATGAATCAGAGAATTTTGACCAAATCAATAAAATGCTGAGTTTTTTTTTTTTTTAAGTCAAAAATTAGAAAATTAAGAATTGAGAGGATTGGAGCTCCCACAATGCTTGGGTTTAAAAACCTCCTTTTTCTTAATATATATTACAATTATCTATATATATGAATTAAATTTTTAAAATGTCTCTTTTTTTTTCCTTTTTTATATTATATTAAAGTTTAATATTTTAATAATAATCATATGTGTTGGATTTTTTAAAGAATTAAATGTCTTCTTTTTTTTAATTATATTATATTAAAATTTAATATTTTGATAATAATCATATGTGTTGGGACTTTTTAAATTTTTTTTTTTATGTTTGTTCTTAATACATTAAAATGTTATTATGAGGGATAATAATTATATGTGTTGAGACTTTTTAAGGAATTTATATGTGTTAGATTTCAAAGAATTTGTTTTATGGTTGTTCTTAATGCATTAAAGTGTTATTATGAGGGTAAGACTTGGGAGTTAGGAGAAGTTAATAAATGCTAAGATTTTTTTTTTTTAAAATAAAAAAATCAAGAAATTTAGATCGGGAGATTGGAGCTCTCACAAGGCTTGGGTTAAAAACTTCATTTTGCTTAATATATAGTATAGATAGATGTTGACAAATGCAATTGATTGTGTGTGGCTGTGATTGAAGACTCTCTAGAAGATGAATGTAACAGTGAGACTATTGAACAGAGACATATCTACAATGTGATTAATATATCATCTTCATCATCCATTATGACTCTCTAGAAGATGAATGTAACAGTGAGACTATTGAACAGAGACACATCTACAATGTGATTAATATATCATCTTCATCATCCATTATGGGCTTCCCTAAATCGATATGTGTTGTTAGTGGGGGTGGATCTACGTATTTGGGAACCCGAGATATGCACATGTTCATGATTTTATCTTGAGTTTCATCAAAGGTTTCTTGCTATAAAAAAAAAGTAGTTGAAAATTATTCACTTTTTGTGTTAGTCTTTTGTTCTATTGGAGCAAAGTAGTATAGGGAGAACATATTGGCCCCGTTTGTTTTGGGTGAAAGAGAAGGTATTGGGATTGTTAATACCAAGGTATTAGTAATAGCCTTGTTTGTTTTGAGAGAAGGCCTTGGGACTATTAGTCTCTTGGTATTACTAATACCCTTGGAGAGGAGATTGGTAAGGAGGAGGTAGAGATGGTATTAGAAAAATAGTGAGGGGATTAGAAATTTTTTTATTTTTTATATATGGGAAATTTTTTTTTAAGTATAATTTTTAATTTTTTATATTTTTTTATTTGTTTTATTATTTTATATAAAAATAATTTAATAATTCCTCACTATCAATCCCCTCCATTCTATCTCTGGAAACAAACGGGGGGTTCGTTTGGTTTGTATTTCTGAAAAATTTTGGATCTAAATAATTATAATATATCATCTTCATCATCCATGTGTATGTGTTGGATCTAAATATATTTGATGTTCTTAATTTTAATTTAATTTATTTATTTATTAAAAAATTTGGGTTTGGATGGTCATATTTATGTTTTGTGCACTTTAATCTTTCAATATTTTAAAAAATTGGCATCACGAGTTTGCTCCTCTACATTACGAGTACTTTAAGTGCAACAAAGCATCATTTGAGATTTTTATTCTCTTTGCATGTGCTTTGATTTCGTCTCACGCATTGCCAAGCGGAATCCCACAATGGTGATGATGTCAATAATAAATAAAATGAGATATGCGCTAAATAGTAGTCAAACAAGAAATGTAGACAATAAGAACATTGTGTCTTAATTTGTGTTGTATATGAAAAGTAACGAAAGTAAAATTTTATTTTTGTGTGTTGAAGTTTGTTAATGATGTAAGAGTAAATAAATGTTTACAGTGATAAAGTTACATTGTGTATCGAGAATTTAAAAAAGAAAAAAAAGAAAAAAAAAAAAAAAATTGTGTTAGACGTCCTCTACCTTCACCAACACTTTTTCTCCTTGTTAATTGATTCCATTACATAACACATTACTAAGTGTTACCAAACGACATCTTAACATTTGACTTTTTCATTATTATTATTATTATTATTTTTATTTGCAAACTAACTTTTGTTAACAGTTCAAATGGAAGATAAAAAAAGATTGATAGTTTTGTTTATTGCTAACACTTAATCCTAACAGATGTGTTGATGGATGCCGAGAGTCGAGAGAGGAGCTATCTAAGTGGGTAGGAGTATGGCAAACAAAGTAGAAAATAAATAATAGTAGTTTTTAAAATGGCAAGGTTTCTCATTTTCCAAAATCATTCATAGTTGAGCTATGGAAAGTTTGTCCTAACCATTCTTTGGCTCGGTTCAAAACTCAGAAATAAAAAAAAAGACACCATGCGTCGCAAAAATCACATGAGGATATTAGTTTGGCAATCCTTTACTTTAAGCCACCAAGTTAAACAGGTTAAATAAGAGTACGAATCCTCGGTCGCCCTTTCCTACGGCCCTCATTGCCGCTCTCGCCAAAATGACGTCGTCGTTTTTGCCAAAACGATGTCATTTTGTTTAGTGATTTCCCCCCTCTCCCAAAATTTGATTTTCCTACTTCTTCCACTTTCATCTTCCTTTGATATGTTCTGTTTAGCCCTAACATCAACAAGTAGACAGAGACGAGAGAGAGAGACGCTAGACGAAGAGAGAGAGAGAGGCATAGAGAAACTGTTGGCTACATATTTTGTATAAGCCAATTACAATTTGACGCACGGCAAAGTAAGGGTAGTACGGGAAGACCATTCAAATCTTCGATCCTGATCGTACACGTGGCAATTAGTATTGGTTGTTATGAGATCTGAGTAGCAGTGGATCAACAAAGAGATACAAGGTGATGTGGCATCAACGGTTACTCACATTTAAATTCAAATTTAGGAGGGAAGCCTAACTGCAAGTGATGGCGTAATGGAGCTAATCTTGAGGCAACATGATCAGCGATCATGGGGGAGCAGTTCAACGGTTGGAAATACAGTTCGATGGTTATCCTTGAGCAGTATAAATAGCAGAGAAGGCCCTAGAAAAAAGCCCCCCAGACTCAGATCCAAAAAATCAGTCTTATTCTACTTTACTTAGTTTTACATTTCCTGTTCTTTAAATTCCAATACTTTAAATTTTGCACTGCACTTCATTCATAGGAGTAGTTTTAAGTAGATTGTCGCTGTAAACCTCTACGAGGCTGAGTTTGAATCATTGTAAGTTTTTCATTCTAA